GAAAAGCCTAATGTATGAGTTTACGGCATTTCAAGGATTTATTGTATATTGTTTTATTTTTCTTAAATCAGGTATCCCGAATTTTGTTCCGCTTATTCACGGTCGTTTTCATCTCAATTTCTTGCGAACACATAATTAGCACTTTATTACCACGCTTAGTTTATACCTGATTGAGCATTCGTCTTCGTTTTTGAGAGACCTGATTCTTAGATCTGTTGGTCAGCGAAATTGGAAGCTTTTGTTTTTTAATTAGAAAATTTTACGATCCTCACTGTTTAGCACTTAATTAGTACCTAATAGTGTTTCGTCAACATTCATTATTTCATTATTATTTTCATTGCGTTGCTAGCATCACATAATACTAGCAACGCAACTTTGAGTATTGAGTTGCGGTGTAAGTTACAGAGCACCTAACTTTTGACTTCGGTACCTAAAAAGCACCTAGAAAGTACCTAATTTCGGCATTTTGTAAATTGCGATTTCCGTACTTGTCGTCGCTGGCGCTACAAAATCCATCCATCATTAATCAACTAAGAGGGAATACGATAGGACATTTAAGCAAACTCAATGATTTGGACATTAGAACTGATCTGCAACAAAATCAATACTATCCCTTCCTTACACGAAAGAACTATCGAAGAGGTTCAGAAGAAGTGAATCTAAAATAATGTCAACTTTCGTTTCAGATTCGGAAATACAACCCGTAGCATCCTCAGAAAAACAAAACTTTCAGATGCAAATAACGACTTTAAAAAACTTGTAGGTACTATGAATGTGACAAGTGTTGAATGTCAAGATTGGCAAGCATAAGAACATCCAACGACAAAACATCGGCAATCAGGGAATAAAGAGCTCTTCTGATTGCAACAAGTCTACATACAATGGTCCAAAGTCGATATCCTCCATAGGAAGGAACACTAGTTGAAGAGAAAATATGCTCACATAGTCAAGAGTGTAGGTGGACTGTTCGAAAAATAAAGTGAATGTTCAAATTTCGCGGGATACGTACATTCGATTAGCAATTTTTTATGTTGGTTCACTTGTCTCGAACATATGTTCACAGTTTCAGCTGTTTAACATGTTCAGTTTGTTGTTGAGAGGCATGCAAGTTAAAACTGTTATAATAAATTGATGGATGTAGCCATTATTCTGTGGTAAGAGATCATCATGAAAATGGGAAATAAAACTTTCTATGTTTTTACCACTTTCAGAAGTGTTTTGCATGTTCGGTGATTTTCTGCTATCGGAAAAAATGGATCAGAAAATGTTCATCAAATTTTGTGTAAAAAGTGGAGGTGGGTGCTAGAAAACACTTTAAATGTTGACAGTGGCATATGATGATTGTACTCTGAGTAAAAAATGTTTACAAGCTTTACACAGAAAGTCAAGAGGATATGAATGACGACACTCGTCCTGGACGTCCCAGCACATCAACAACCGATGAAAATGTAGAGCGACTGTAGAGAACTGTTATGGAGAATCGTCAAATCACTTTCAGAGATGCTGCTGAGGGTGTCGGCATATCGATTGGCTCATACCATGCAATTTTTTCGGAAATTTTGGGTATGAAGCGTGTGGCAGCAAAGTTCATTCCGAAATTGCTGAAACCAACCAACACTGAAACCAAAGTCCAATCGTCCCAATTGAAAAGCCCAGGAGAGTCAAGACCAAAAAAGCACGCCAAGTTTGATTAAATGTCAACTGCTCACTGTTTTTTTTTAGATTACCGTGGCGAAATGCTTCATGAGTTCTTGCCACATGATCGTACGGCCAATAAGGAGTATTATTTTGAAGTTATGCACCGTTTGCGGAAAGCAATATGAAGAAAACGTCCGGGATTGTGGAAAAACATTCAATGGCTTTTGCATCACGATAATGCATCTGCTCACTCGTCATTGCTTGTTCGTGATTTTTTGGAAAAATACCAAACACCGTAATGACACCTCAGTCACCGTATTCACCAGATTTGCCCCCCTGCGACTTTTTCTGTTTCCAAGATTGAAGAGACCCACAAAAGGACGGTGTTTTGCGATGATTGATTAGATAAAAACCGAATCACTGAGCTCAAGAACATACCAAAAAGTGCATATCAGAACTGCTTCGAGGATTGGAAAAAACGCTGGCAAAAGTGTATTATATCTGAAGGGGGCTACTTTGAAATGGACAGAATAGAAATTGATTATTTATAGCAGTGAATAACGTCCTTAGAACGTTGTCTATGTAAACAAAATGGCGCGGTTTCTTAAGGAGCGGTAACTGTCACCGTAACGTCAAAAAGCGGTGCCGCCATTTGCATGACGGCCGTCATGTTGGTGTCAGATGGTTTATTTTAATACGTATTTGTGTTTTTTACGTACAAAATGAGTTCCATCTCTTGGAGCAGCGAGGACGACGAAGTTTTGATAGATTTTGTACGTAACCATGAAGCTATATAAAATATAAAAAGTAAAGAATACAGAAAAACTCAATTAAATCAGAATTGGTGGCGTGAAATTGGAGAAATTTTGAATAAATCAGGTTAGTATAGAATTTACAAAGGGTTATTAACTATTTATTTTCATTTCACATTACAGTACTTTTATGTTATTTACGAACAGCCTAGTGTTGTGTTGCATAATTATATTGCCACTCAATAGCCCCTGGTCCATTGAAGTAATTTTTCAATGTTCGTATTCGTATAGAATTCGTTTGGGCTCGAACATTGTGATTTGCCAGAGGTATTGAAGTTTCAGTAGGTAATGGAAGTAGGTCATGAACATGTCTTTGACCAGGTGCCAGTACTTTTGCTTCACGTAATATGTTATATAAAATGCAAGCGCTCACTACTAGTTTGTCTGTCACAGCTGGGTCAGTAGCGATAGGTACGAAAAATTGTCAGAAGTAACCACATACATTTCCAAATGTATTTTCTGTAGTTATTCGAGCTCGTGATAATCGGTAATTATATACGGCTTTTGACATATCATGGATAGATTGCTGTCTTGGATAGGATTTCATCATATTTTCGTGGAGAGCAAAAGCTTCATCTCCCTATTTTACTTTTTAAGTAAATACCAGCATCTCCTTCTCTTCCATAAGAACCAACATCAATGGCAATAAATTTACAATCCGCATCGACGACTGCTAGCAATATCATTGAATAATACTCCTTGTAGTTGTAATATAATGATTCACTATTGATGGGAGCCTTCATTCTTATGTGTTTCCCATCAACTGCTCCCACACAGTTTGGAAACTTCCACCTTAATAAATACTGGTCACTGATTTTTTTGAGTTGATCATCTTTTGGCAATGGTACACCTAATTGGAGCATAGTTTTCATAATGGCAGTACTAACATATTTTATTATAGCGCTTATCCAGCTATGACTTACTCGATACTGAAACGGAAGCGAACCGTAAGACTCTCCTGTGGCCAAGTGCCTCAAATAGATTTTAGATAAACACTTTATTGCTGACACATATTATTATAAAATTCACTTAAACAGCAATAATAAAAATAAAATAATGAATGTAATAAATCTTGGTATGAATTTGTTACTACATTTGTTATATGTGAGGGTATGATGACTCTATGTGTTCTTTGCTATAGTAACAAATTAAATAAATTTTTTTTTAGATTCCGATTGCTCCAAGAGATGGTGTTACATACGAGACTATTATATTCGACGTATAGGAAAACCAGGTTCTGGTTCAAGCGGAGAAACAGCAAAGAAAAGATCTGATCTCCTGTCATTCTTGGACAGCCTTCATTTTTCCCAAAGAGGCAGTATTACTAATGTTGTAGATGAAAACCCAGGAGATAATAGTGTGATAATAGAAGACACTCATGACATCACTGAAGGAATACAAACCCCGGAAGACGGAACTATAATAATGGAAAATACTCACAACAGCGAAGAAACACAATCAAACACTCAGAAAATATAAAATAAAAATGATAATACAGCTGAGCGTGATAAGAAACGGAAACATAATGCACACAGTCAAGAACGTCTAAACCTTCTGAAGCAAATTGCTAATCAGAATTCAAATCAAAGTGGGTTAGATGAAATTGATCTCTTGCTTCAATTACGCCAAATTTCAAACAATTCACCCCAAGACAGTGCCTTATCTCTTAGACCCAGTACTATCAATACTGATTATTATGCAAACTTTGTTCCTTCGCCATTATCTACCAGCACTACTACGAGTAGTACTAGTGGTTCACTAATTGTAGCTCCTTCTCCACAAGACACTTCACTGATTACAGTTGATGAACAGCCAGGCACTCGTTTAATTACAGTGGATGAACAAGGACAAGTATATTTAGTTTCGCAAAACTGATAATACGAGTATTAAATAAATACAGGATCCAATAAAATGTTTTTTATTGACTCACCTAAGAAGTATAGGTACACAGTTTTTGTTCTGGCCTTATTGGTTTTGCTCAGTAAACGGCGTACTGAAATCTCAAATGCACCTTCTGTACCACGAGATTTGAATAAATCGTCTTCCGCCATACGACTATTTTCCTCTTATGATGATAGTTCGTCCTCCAGGTAAATTAATGAAGCTAAATCAAGGTATTCCATTTTCTCTCCTGGATACTTTTGACGTTTGCGTTAAAAAAAATAACTGACGGTGTGTACGGCAGTGGAACTTTCAACATGTAGTCACCGTAAAGACGGCAGTCTTTTTGCGTCCGTAATATTACGGCCGCTATATGACGGCACCGCTATCTTAGGAAACCAAAGCTTATGATGCACTGTTTGGAACCTTTAGTGTAGTAATGAATATTACTGGAGTTTTTTCCCAACACCAAATCGTTATTTTCAACACCTCGACATGTGTTTCGATCACCAAGTGATCATCTTCACAAGGAAGATTAAACTAGAAACTAACGCGAAGCTAACGCTATTTATGCTATATAGACATCCCATACAGGTAAACCATCCAGGTGTACCCCCCATACAGGTATACCAACCTAAATTAATTTTACAATTTTGCCTTATCTATTATTTTTACAATATATGTTTAACTGAATTATATTGCTGAAAATTGTTTTATATACAGCTATAACAGTTAAACATATATTGTAAAATAATAGATAAGGCAAAATTGTAAAATTAATTTAAGTTGGTATACGTGTATGGATGGTACACCTGGATGGTTTACCTGTACGGGATGTCTATATAACATAAATAGCGTTAGCTTCGCGTTAGTTTCTAGTTTGATCTTCTTCTTTGGAGATGGTCACTTGGTGATCGAAACACGTGTCGAGGTGTTAAAAATAACGATTTGGTGTTGGGAAAAAACTCCAAAGTTTAACAAAAACTTGGGAAGCTAACCTGAAATGCCATCGCAAAACGAATCCTCATGTTTCTAGAAATTATATGAAAACGAGAAATGTTAATGCAGTCAAGCTGCTGGAAAATAATTCATTAGTATGAGTAAAAAAATTGGATGTTTGGACAATCATGAGGTTTTATTTGCCAAAACAAAGAAAATTTTTGTACTATATTGAAATAAATGAATATTTCCACATAAGTCGCTCATTTTCAACTTTAGGAAGAAAGATGATATGAGCTTTGTTGTTGAGAATGTTTTTGGGAATCAAAATACATGATAATATATAGAGTGTTCCATTTGAAAAGTATCATTTTATAAAATATTTTGAAAACGCCAATGTCAATTTTTCGGCATGAAGAATGACATTAAAAATGCTATTAGTTTGCCTATTTAACCGATTTCGTATCATCAATAATAATAATATGAAGCATCGGATATACGTTTAATTACTTGTAAGAAACTAAAATAGAAAGAAAATAAGTCACAAACAAATTTTTTTAGTAAATAACACATTTTTTATTGAAAAATATAAACAAAATCAACATTTATTCAGAACTAATGACGTAACAATAAAAAAATAATATTTAGGCATGGAAACATACCACGTTTCCCCTGTATCAGCTATCTATTGGTAGGTCATCCACAAATTCGTCATCGCTCCCTTCAGGTTGTTCGGCAAATGTTAATTGTTGATAAAACACTCTGGCTTCTGCTTTCTGGAGGAATGCAGTCAGATCTTGCAAATCCTTCCATTTGAGTTTTTTGACGAGGATTGGGCACTGATAAAGTTTTGTCAACAATTCCTCTTCATTTCTCTGATTCTTTTTCTTTCTTTGGTTCTTCTAAGTGGTTTTCGGTCAAAAATAAAGACCATAATATGTGGTTTTGTGGCACACCAAGCGGGGATTCTCATTATAAAACTTCAGCATCCTGATAGGCCGAGTCGGGAAGGGGCACTTCTTTGGATAAAGCGGCGATAAAAATGAACTACAATTTTGAAACACGAAATTTTTGCCACAGTCAATCACTTCAAATGGTGTTCATTTCATCCGGCAATTTCTTAATTCTTGTCTCCAGTCCTCTGGTACCTCAGTGTATGGTTTTTGATTTACGAGGCTCATGTCTCGATCACATTTGAGGTAAGAATGCTCCCTGATCGGGAATATCACTTTCACAGTATCAAAACGGTTCTTTTTAGTGACCAAGTAATGCAGAAACTGAATTACAGTGACGTTTTTATTTCGTCCTGCGCAGGAATCACAAAAAATTGCCAGTTCTTTCACTTCCATGGGCAGTATATTAAAAAATAAGTGATACAGCATAGAACAGTTCGTCAGTTCCTTTCATAGCAACAATTTCATCATAGGTGTAAAATACAGATCTTGAATTTGACAGAATATGAACGTTGAAACTAATGAAATTCAGTCGACGTTTATAGTGAACATCATTGGTAGTAATGTTTGGGCATGGTATTTTAGGAAATCCATGGCGATACTTTCCATACTGATCGACTTTGCGGCACGTTTGCGGTGATTTCTCTTACGACTGTAAAATTGCTCACTTTTTCTTAGATGTAGCTCTTTTTCACGCATTTTTTTCTCCAAATCATCGCTTGCCATTTTCCTGGTGTTATCATCCGAGATGGAATTCAATGTTAGAGTAAGTGAAGATATGTCGGCTTCAAAGGAATCACACGTGCTGCACGTGTCTTTGCGTGGATCCCCAAATAAAATATTAAAGTTACGTTCAAAAATTTCGCGGAAACTTTCGTAGGAAAGGTTACGATTAGAATACATTTTGTGCAATTTGACGATATTTAGGTCTTCAGACAGATACATTTTTTTCGAGTCTGTCAAGGAATAATGTGGTTGCGCCCTTTAAGACTCTTAATGAATTCGATCACTTTCTGTTTTTTGTCTTCTGAAAGTTAGGTCGTGTATTGTGTTTTCCACGCATGTCGATGGGTGGTTTCCCAGTTAACAGCAAAGACTCCCTGACGTATCTAGCTCGACCACCTGTGATTCCATGTAAAGACAAAAAAGCCTTAATACAAATTGAAACATCACGAGTAACTCCATCCTCAATCAGTCGAACACGATAGCTGAATGAGGCATTATTAAGCCTTGATTCTGCTTCATTTTTCCGAGGAAGCCTACGCATGACAGGAAGAATAAGTGTGATCAGACCACTGAGGTACGAGTTTTGTTTGTTAGTGTCACCTAGTTTGTTGAATTCTCAAAGGATTCTATGACGTTTAGGTTCTGGAACAACAGTGAAACAGCAAAAACGTTTACAAGAACAGTCAGGAACCAATTCATGTTTTTTCCGTTTCTCGGCTTGATGGGCCGGCCTCATTTTCACTCGACTCTGTATAGTCACTATTCATTGTATGTACTTGCTGTATAACACTATAACAATAATTTAACTGGTGTAGCTTCTGCTATTACCAAAATGTATTTTTCTATAATACAACAACACATGCAAGTGCTACAAAATACACAAAAATAAACTAATGGCTGATGCAATAACGAACATTCCTATACGACGCGACGCAACTTGACGGCGCGTACTAATGCCACTCTTCCCAGGTATAGGCAATCATGTTTCTGTTGTTTTGAGGACCTAAGCTACTTAGTTTTTTTTAATATGGTTGTAATTTATCCTACGAAAAACATGAGAGTTTGAAATAACGCAATAATACAAAACCTAGATGTATGGCAATGTATCTATTGAAACTTGATTTTCAGATGATGAGTACGATTTTGTGATCGTTGGTGGGGGATCCGCAGGATGTGCATTAGCTAACAGGCTTTCTGAAGTAACGAAATGGAAGATACTTCTTCTCGAAGCTGGAGAACCTGAAACTTACTTTATCGATATCCCCTTGTTAGGCCTAGGTTTTGAAAGAGGGAAATATGATTGGTCATATTTAATAGAGGAACAACCAAACGCAAACCTTGGATTGATTGATCACAGAATGGCAATTCCAAGGGGAAAGGGATTAGGCGGTTCCAGTATTCTAAATTTTATGGTTTATTCAAGAGGAACTAAAACGGATTTCGATAATTGGAAGAAACTGGGAAATGAAGGTATTTATTACGAGTATATGAATTCACAGTGCACTACCTGGGCTGAAAAGTCTCGGGCCTAACACATAGATGGCACTAGTCTCATTGCATTCACCGCTTTTTCAGTTAGTACTAACCTTCAAAAGGAAACTGTTGAAATTTCATGATATTCTGCTCATAAGTTTATGAGTTATTGTGATAAGCGTGACACTACTTTTATTATTTTCAAAACAAAGAATCAAAAAAAATTTCGTGTTTTAATTTTACACTGCTTCTTGATGGGAAACAATACCGTTCAAGCGAAGCAATGGCTGGAAAAATGTTATAAGGACTCCGCTCCATCAGAAACAACAATTAAAC